CCCGCCGCGCCCCGCGGCCCGCGGCCCACCCAGGCGGGTCACTGCCGCGGCCCGGGCCGGGAGCATTCACCCGGCTTCGGGCGGAGGGGGCAAGTGGGGGCTCGGAGCGAGGTGAGAGCCCGTGTGGGCTGCGAGCCCGACGGTGACTTGCTTTCCCCGGAGCGCCGCTTTCCGGGACCGGCAGCGCCCGGCTGCGTTAACCTCTTCCTGCCCCCAGCCTCCCTGCGCTGCCGCCAGCCACGGCCAGGCGCGCCCGGGAGCCCCCACGCAGGGAGGCAGCTTTCGGAAGATGCTCGTGGCTGTCCTGCCCCAGGTCCGCCCCCTCCTTCCCTGGGGCCTGGCCCCCCGGCTCACCCCCAGCCGGACGCAGCACGGGCCCCGGGGCTGTCCCGAACGGGGCCGTCAAGAGCATCCCTCGCAACGGAGGGCAAAGCACGAGCCCACGTGCAGCAAGGGGCTGCCTCTGCTGGGGCTGTGAGCAGAGGTGTTCGGCCTTCTCCAGGACAACTCTCCCAACACGTTACCACTAGGTGAAACAACACACCACAAAGGCTGCTTTCACAGCTCCCGGGCCGGGGGGCGGGGGACACCCTTGCATTATTCCTCCCGCACTGCTTTTAGGGACGTGCAGGGATTGCTCAACAGGGAAGTCCAACGTGTGTACCAGAGCCATAAAACAGATCCCCGAGCCGCACGTTGATAGTAGCTCCATATAACCCGAGTTCGCTCCCTTTGGACTCCGGGGCCCACTGTGTTACGGCTTCGGCGTTTGATGGGACGAGCCCTGGGCAGCAACGCGGTGCCCGTCGGGGGGGCGCGGTGCCCCCTCGCCCGCCTGCTCCCGCCGCTGCCCTGCCCGGCCCCGCAGCCTCCAGCTTTATAACCAAGACACCAAGTCTGCGGGAGGCGCGGGGCTCGGGGAAGACCGGCTCGAGCCTCCCCGGCCGGGTGAAGGGGGAGGCAGGACCTAGCACAGGGCTCTCCTTCCTTGTGCACCGCCTGAGCGGGCTTGTCAGAGTCAAAAGCCGTGAAGCCCGGGCGCTTTATGAATTCAGTGGGTCGTGTGCCACAAATCAAGCCCAATTCTGTTCAGCCACCGTGAAGCTCAGCAGGGCAGCCTCGACAGCCGCTTTGTGTGGAGGCGAAGTTGTTCGACAAGCCCCTCTCCTGCCAGCTCCTAATCTCTGCACAAACGCCCGGCTTGAAGGAAACACTTCGCAGGTACCTGTCAGTGCAAACAGCCCGGTGGGCTCCCTAGCTGCCGGCCTGGCCTCCGCATTCCTCCCAGCCCGCCCCGGCTGTACCTGCAGGACCCCGGGTCGCTATTTTATTTCATACAAATTCCAGCTTTATCACACTGACCTGGCCTCCTTATCTCTGCCCCAGATCCAGCCAATGGCTGCCGGGGCGGGGGGAGGCCAGGGGCAGGGGGCATTCAGCGGGCTGCTCCCGTCACCTGCGAAGTGGAGACCCTGCCCTGCCGAGCTCTGTTTGCGCGGCCCCCCGCCTCAGTTAATATTAACCCGCCGCTCATGCACTCGGCGGCTGCTCGCAAAGTTTAACTATTCCGGGCAGGGAAGCTCTTGCCAGGGCTGAAAGGCTGCGAGAGGGGGAGCCGGGACCTGGGCAGGCCGGGGGCGGGAGCGCAGTGCCCCCCGCGGGCCACGGGGAGCCCCGGCCCGCCTGCCCGCCGCCGGCGGGGGGCT